AGAAAGTGGAACACGGCCAACGGCCTGCTAACCCGGTGACACACATTTCCCGCTTGTCTCAACGAAAGTGAAAAGAATCGATCTTTTATGGGCCCGCGAGATGAGATTTATTAGCGGAGAATATCTAATCGCGCGATTGCCGACGTCTTGCGTAGGTAGGTAAACGTACGAGTCTGCGGGTGAGTTTACGGGAAACGAAATGCGACAAAATGTTTTAGAGAGAGAGAGAGAGAGAGAGAGAGAGAGAGAGAGAGAGAGAGAGAGAGAGGCATGAGTTTCAATCGTGCTTCCATGCGATTGACTCTACTTCGCTGCAGGATATTTTTCAGAGCCTTTTCAGGTAAATTTCGAGGAATTTCGACAAAGGGACAACCAACCCATCTCGGTGGTCAATTCGATCACAAAGAACTGTAATGGTCTCAGGTCCGCAACCGCAAGGACTCAAGTAACCGTATACGTACTTGTGCTGAAAAGCGTTGAAAAATGTTGTCTCCCCACGTTTACAATTTCTCTAAACATCTTCGGGCCGCAATTCGGGTTTTCGCAATGATGAGGACAAACCTCGACGATTTGTTAAGATCATCATCTTGTTTACGGTATAGCAGACGTTGTAACGGACAAGTTATCCCAAAGTCATTTTTCGCACGTGGAGCGAAACACCAGAGAAACATTCCATCCTCAAATAATCTTAGAAGCTGCGTCACCGTCCTTGGTGGACAAAGGATAGCGCGATATCACTCTCCCCCCTTGCTGCGAGTCTCGATACCCTTGACTCTGCATTTTAGCTTTAAAATGCAGACATATAGATATTTTACCGCAAAGCAGTTGTGGGCGCGCGAGTTAAATTCGTCGCTCTGAAATAGATAACCGGAAGAAAGAGGAGCGGGTCTCGTAATTTTCATTGTCCAGTATACGTGAATCTCTTCGAGAATTATATTGAGAGTGAAAAATAAAAGATGGAAAATGCAAGCAGGGCACAGGAGAGGAGAGGAAAGGTTAAACGTTATATCTTTTCGCGATATCGTGGACGTGCGATTACGCGAAGTCACTCGACATCGTAATGTGCGAGAAGAAAAAAGTCGCATTTCCGCCGCATATTTCAATTACGCGTTACCAAAGTACGCGCACATAATTGAACGAACGACGTTGCATTTAATATCAAACGCAGACAACCGGCTTGCTCGAAATTTCTAATTAACGTTGTCGCCAATTCCGGAATTATTGGTA